CAGATAGATGTGTGTGAGGACAGGTGAGACAACCAAACCCAGCACCGAACATGTTGCTCATGTTGATTAAACTCACTTTTTGCAAGAGGAATTATGACGTATCACAGTATCACAGTATGTTAGAGATTGGAAGGGACCTCAAAAGATCATCTAGTCCAATCCCCCTGCTGGAGCAGGAACACCTAGATAAGGTTACACAGGAACGTGTCCAGGCGGGTCTTGAATGTCTCCAGAGAAGGAGACTCTACAACCTCCCTGGGCAGCCTGTTCCAGTGTTCTGTCACCCTCACTGAGAAGAAGTTTCTTCTCAGGTTTAAGTGGAACCTCTTGTGTTCCAGTTTGTACCCATTTCCCCTTGTCCTTTCATTGTTTGCCACTGAGAAGAGCCTGGCTCCATCCTCGTGACACTCCCCCTTTATATATTTATATACACTAATAAGGTCACCCCTCAATCTCCTCTTCTCCAAACTATAGAGACCCAGCTCCCTCAGTCTTTCCTCATAAGGGAGATGCTCCACTCCCTTAATCATCTTAGTTGCCCTGCGCTGGACTCTCTCCAGCAGGTCCCTGTCCTTCTTAAACTGAGGGGCCCAGAACTGGACACAATATTCCAGATGGGGTCTCACCAGGGCAGAGTAGAGGGGAAGGAGAACCTCTCTCGACCTACTAACCACCCCCCTTCTAATACAACCCAGGATGCCATTGGCCTTCTTGGCCACAAGGGCACAGTGTCGGCTCATGGTCATCCTGTCGTCCACCAGGACCCCCAGGTCCCTCTCCCCTACACTGCTCTCTAACAGGTCGTTCCCCAGTCTATACTGGAACCTGGGGTTGTTCCTGCCCAGATGCAGGAACACTTTCCCTTGTTATATTTCATCAAGTTATTCCCCGCCCAACTCTCCAGCCTGTCCAGGTCTCGCTGAATGGCAGCACAGCCTTCTGGCGTGTCGGCCACCCCTCCCAGCTTAGTGTCATCAGCAAACTTGCTGATAGTACACTCAATTCCCTCATCTAAATCGTTGATGAATATATTAAATAATACTGGTCCCAGAACCGACCCTTGAGGCACTCCACTAGATACAGGCCTCCAACTAGACTCCGCCCCATAGACTACAACTCTCTGGCTTCTCTCCTTCAGTCAGTTCACAGTCCACCGCACTACCCGATCATCCAGACCACACTTCCTCAATTTAGCCGCAAGGATGCTGTGGAAGACCGTGTCAAACGCTTTGCTGAAGTCAAGGTAGACCACATCCACCCCTCTGCCATCATCCATCCACCGTGTTATTTCCTCATAAAAGGCTACGAAATTGGTCAAGCATGGCTTCCCCTTGGTGAAGCCATGTTGACTGCCCCTCATAACCCTCTTATCCTTGATATGCCTTAAGATGGCACCAAGGATAAGGTGTTCCATCACTTTCCCAGGAATGGAGGTGAGGCTGACCGGTCTATAGTTACCCAGGTCCTCCTTCTTGCCCTTTTTGAAGACAGGAGTGACATTTGCTTTCCTCCAGTCCTCAGGCACCTCTCCCGTTTCCCAAGACTAGGTAAAGATGATGGAGAGCGGTCTAGCAATGACCTCCGCCAGTTCCCTCAGCACCTGCGGGTGCATCCCATCTGGACCCATGGATTTATGGATATCCAGATTGCTCAACTGGCCTCTAACCCATTCCTCATCGACTAAGGCAGACCGCTCCGTTGACCTATCTTCATCTGAGGTCTCAGCAGTACAGGGCTCTTCAGGACTGCCTCCGGCAGAGTAGACAGAGACAAAGAAGGCATTCAGTAACTCTGCCATCTCTGTATCTTCTGTCACCAGGGCACCCGTCCCGTTCATCAGCAGGCCTACATTGCCTCTGGTGTTAGTTTTACCTGCCATGTATTTGAAAAAGCTCTTTCTGCTGTCCTTGACCCCTCTCGCCAGCTTTAATTCCAAGGAGGCCTTAGTCATCCTAGCAGCTTTCCTACATCCTCTAGCAGCAGCCTTATATTCTTCCCAAGTGGCCAGCCCTTCCTTCCATGACCTGTAAACTCTCCTCTTCCACTTGAGCATACCGAGCAATTCCCTATTTAGCCACGCAGGTCTCCTGACCCTCTTCCTTGACTTCCTACGTGTCGGGATGCTCCGATCTTGAGCTCGGAAAAAGCAGTCCTTGAACGTCAACCAACTATCTTGGGCCCCTTTACCTTCAAGCGGCCTAGCCCATGGGATTTCCCCTAGCAATTACTTGAAGAGGCCAAAGTTTGCCCTGCTAAAGTCCAGGGTTGCGATTCTACTTGCTATTCTACTGACCCTACCACACAAGATCCTGAATTCTACCATCTCGTGGTCGCTGCAACCAAGGCAGCCCTCAACCTTCACTCCTTCAACCAGACCCTCCTTGTTAGTGAGGATGAGATCCAGCAGCGCACCTCTCCTGGTTGGCTCGTCCACCATTTGCATGAGGAAGTTATCATCTATACACTGGAGGAACCTCCTGGACTGCGGCTGGGTTGCTGAGTAGTCCTTCCAGCAAACATCAGGGAAGTTAAAATCCCCCACGATGTCCACGGCCTGTGACTGTGAGGCCGCTGTCAGCTGCCTGTAGAAGGCCTCGTCAACTTCCTCACCCTGATCCGGTGGCCTGTAACAGACCCCCACAACAGTATCGCCCCTGCCAGCCTGCCCCTTAATTCTCACCCACAGACTCTCAACTCGCTCATCGTCTGTCCCCGGACAGAACTCAACGCACGTAATTTTGGTTTTGATTGTTTTATGTTGTTGCAGAATAAGTGCAATTCTAATTGACACTTGAGACTGTTGTGACCATGTTTCCAAGTGGTTTAAATCCTATGCAAGTAACAAAAAGGTGGTTTTAATTTTCTACTGTTGTTTCACATTTTCCTGAAGGGTTTTATCTACAGAAATGGCACATAAAAGTGAAATGTCTGTTTATTGCACACCTTACTTCTGGTGAGGATTAAGTGGAAATAACTTGAGTAGAAATCATAGAATATCAGACATCTCTTGGAAATTTTAAGAGTAATTTAAGAGGATTTGCATGTTTTGTAGATTTCATGTTAGTTTTGGCTAGATTCAGAGTTAGCAACTACACTTTTATGTTAGTAGTTTTCTTTTAGGAGAGAGAATACAAATTTTTGTAATTAGTTTAATAGCCCACTTAATAGCCAGTACTGGATTTTTACAAGGTTAGCAGAAGTAACAGTACAGTGCAAAAAAAGCCCGTACTGAATGGAGCCTCTGTCATGAGGGAGGTTCTCTGAATCTGATCAACAGTGATAATGTCAGAGCTTATAGACAAAGTATGTTATCAGTACTTTGAATTTGTAATGTATGTGAGTATTTTCAGAACCTAGTTAAATTCTTGTGGTTAGTTGTCTTTTAAAAATACCCATACTTTTTTGACTGTTTCAGTTTTGTGCTTATAAATTGGTTTCAGTGAATATACTTTGGGTTTATAGCAGAAGATAAATCAGAATCCTTAATTAAATAGTGGGAGCATTTATATAATATGAATATCATATCCTCTGTAATATAATTTTGTCTTCTGCTTAAAAAAAATCTATGTCATTCTTTATTTCTTTGTATGAGTGGTGCAATTTAATATTGGATGATGAGCCAAGTCAATTTTTTTTTCTTTGTGAAATATTATACGAAAGGTCTGCTTTTAGAGCATAGGTTTAGGAAACATGAAGGTATAGCAGAAAAAAATTAAATTGTGACAACCTAAATATTTGAAAGGATCATAACTTGCACTCATAACCACATTAGAGCTGTATTATTATTCTTTTCGCAAATATTCAGGTTTTTTATGATAGGATTTCCATTAAAAAGCCTTTATTTGTGTTCTCTAAAACCTGTTTCTTCAAAAATGTTTGTGTCTGTCTTCATTGCCTTTGAATTTCTGTTTTTATTCAAAGGGATTTTATGGTTGAGTCTTAATTCTTTTAAGAGATAAGTAACAAAATTTCCCTTAAAAGGTGCTAACCTTTAGGTGTGTGGGTGCTTAACTTTGGGTGTGTAGACTTTGTCAGTAAGTTTAGTTCACATGAATTTTTATCTAATGTGATTGCACTTGTTAAGTGGCCTTCAAAAACTGTTTCACACACAAAAAGTAATTTGAGGATTTAGAAAAAGCCCAAAGAGAAACACATACTGAAGGGTGTGGAGAATTTTGTTCATCCAGTCTAGCTTGCGTGGAGTCTGCTGTTTCCCCTAATCAAGGGAGGTCAGTTAAATGAGCCAAGAGGAAAGATTTATGGCAATTCAGAGATGCAGAAACTAGAGAAAATGCTGTTTAGTCACATTTCTACTTTGGTTTTAAATGTAGTTATAAACCAATAAAATTCTCTCACTTTCTAAACTTCAGTATGTTTTCCCTATGGTATAGGATTATAGATACTTTTTTAGTAATTTGAAAGGAAATATAAGTGGAACTGCACTCATGCAACCTCTTCATTGCTAAGTGAAGAGCCAGTTATTTGTGTTAACAATATAGTTCTTGCCTTTTAAGCTGTTGAGTGTTGTCATACTTAAAGGCCAGAGGAGAAGGGTGCATGGGACAGCTTCTAGAAATAGTCCTGCTATTTTGCAGGTAAAGACATAAACCAGCATTAAGTTCTACCTAATTTTCTTTTTTCTCCTGTTTATGGAGTCAAAGTGCCTTGGTTCAAGGGGGATGACTGTTTCCTGAGTCATTGTTTCTTAGGAAAGTTTCAGGAACAAAGCTTCTTGGTCATATGGACTCTGACCACAGAAACCCTTAGAATGAGCCTACAGAAAGCACATAGCCAGAAGAGTAGTGTTCACCTTTCCAGAGTTTTTATCTCAGCTTCCCTTCTGCTTCTCCTTTCCTCCTGTTGAGACTTCCTACACCGTGACTGTATTGAATGGTATGTTTTCCTCCATGTGAGGAAATCAGCAAAAGAAGCTTTAAATCAACAAACATTTTTTATTATTGTTGTGGTTGAAAGGTAAAGGTGTTGTCTCTTTCATTCAGCAGCATTTCCTTGACATGACGTTTGGAGCCGGTGGTCACACTAAAGCTCTTCTGGAGAAAGCAAGCAACATCACGATATATGCACTGGACAGGGACCCCACAGCTTATAACATAGCTCAGCAGCTTTCAGAATTGTACCCGTAAGTTGCCTTCTCCTGTCTTAAATACGGTCAAGATAAGATTGGTACTGTGTTATTGTATCCACTATTGAATATATCTTTATAGTTCTGATAGTTTTTAATGGCTTATTGTAGAATAGTACTATATGCTGTATATACCCCATTAAATAGGACATCCAGTTCATTTTAGGAGTATTTGGATACAAGTTCGTCTGAGGTTTTTGGAGTTATATGCATTTTTTTTTTTCTGTAAATGGTTAATTTTGAGTATGTGCCAAGTCGCCAATTTCATATTTAACACTTGTTTTAAGAAAGTTGCATGTGTTGTGTTTGCTTTGAGATTAATCTGATGATAGCATTGTACAAAAGATACACTTTGTGGTAAATATTTCATCACAAAGGATGAAATAATATACTTTTAAATAATAAGGTTATTTAAATATTGCTTATGAATATTTTAATTTTTTAAAAACAAATTTTAATTCAGTCTTAGGCTTTCTAAATATTTTACCACTGGCTTCAGAAACTACTAAACATTTGAGTAAGCTACTGTTCTTGTGTAAAGCTTATGCTTCAACTTTCTTTTAAAATAGAGTTCTGAGTTGCCAAATGAACAATTGCTAAATGCAAATTTTCAGTTTTCTCTAGTCATACAAGTTCCTTTATTCAAGAATCAGCCCAGTCAGAGAGCATTCATGTAGAAGTGTGCAATATGTGAAATAAAATATGAACTTTGAGAAACTGCTGCTGTTCAAATTTGACCAGAAAGTAGAAATACATAGATACAAAATTTAGAAAAGAAATTTAAACTGTCAGGTTGAAAACATTGCCCAGAAAAACATTGTTCCCCGGAGAAGCTGTGGCTGCCTCATCCCTGGCACTGCTCAAGGCCAGGTTGGACGGGGCTTGGCGCAACCTGGCCTAGAGGAAGGTGTTGGAACTGGATGAGCTTTAAGGTCCCTTCCAACCCAAACCAGTGTCTGATTCTATGATTATTTATTTCAAAGAGCTTTTACCTGAGGAAAAACAAATCTTTCAAGTAAGAATAAAACTGGAAGAGGTGGATAGAGAAACACCTGGTTCTTAAATCTTTTTTTTTTCCCCCACATAAAAAGAAATTCTAAGATAGCAATATTGTGCAAGCAATGCAGAAGGTATTTCTTACCCTTCCTAAAAGAAAACGCTAAAGTGTGCATTCCCTTCTTCAAGTGCCAGTGTCAGAGGCCTAGTGGGAAAAATGTAAGCATGTGAGAAGAAATCAGGCACAGTTGCTAGTTATCCTACTCAGTAAGACCACTTAAATATATTTCTCAAAATTTCCAGTTCTCTGTGGGCTGAAGTGACATGCTTATAAATTTTTGGAATTCCAATCTCAACTGTTATTTCTCCAGAGTATGATCTTGTTGAGAGAATAATTGTCAAGGAAAATCCATTTTCTTTTAAACTAAGCCTGCAAACGCATTCTACTCGATGTCATGGGAGTTGTAGAGTCTTCTGTTCTTGTGTCATAGCAAAAAAAAAAACACCACCAAAAAACCAAACCAAAAAACTGTAGTTCAAATTGAAGCTAATCTTAACAGAAGTTTTCAGAACCATTCACACAGTGTAAGACAATGAAAAGTCCTCTAACTCAACATGTATTTATCTGTAAAGTATCTTATGCAAACCTGGGTGTTAAGCAAGTTTGTTTTCTAAGTAGATTAAGAGATTTTACATGTTTGATACTGTTCTGCAGTGATTGCCGTTGTTAATTCTCTGCATATGTTTGGGAAAAGATGAGCTTTAATCAATATAGTATTGCAGTTGATGTAAGTTACTATGGCTTTATAAACAAAGGAGGTCTCCTAGTTCCTTGTTTTGGTTGTAAAATCATATAAATCTGGTTACTTGGACTCCAGACTTTGTGTTGTCTGCCTCTACAGTCACAAGTTATCATTAGAATGAAGCCAATTATTAGATAACAGTGTTGTTAGTGAAAAGTCTTCATCACTGAAAGATGAACACGTATCACTTGAGTACTATTGTAAGATAAAGAGTAGTCTTGTTTTGGTGGTTTCCCTCATCTCCCAACTTTCCTATTGAAAAGAACAGGTGGGCCTTTTTTCAGATGGAAAATGTATCTTTTTCATAATAGCTTCTGTTGAAAATTAAGGTAAAAGAATGTTCATATGTGATATATGTGCTTATTATCAATCTGCTTTACCTGGAAAGTCAGTTGTATAAAACATGGTTTAATTAAAAGGGGGGAAGAAAAGGTGTATCATTTGACACATGAAGCTGGGGTTTGCTTACAAATCAGTTTTAAGCATAAAGGATTTACTTCTTCAGAGACATGTAGCTTTCCTAAATGGATTTTTTTCTTTCAGTACTCATTAAAGATGGCTGATCTAATATTATGGGGTTTATTGTCTATTTTCTGCACTGTGTGAAATAAATCTTTTATCATGATTTTATCAGTTTAATTTAAATTTGTATTGGCATTGAAAGCTCAGGGAATTCGTCTGGTTGATTTTTTTTATTTTTTTTTTTTGCCTCTTCTGTTCAACGTTCCTGTTTTGGGAGAGGTTATTTGACTGGCTGAAGTGCTTCGCTTCCTTTGGAGCTGATGGCCCAAGAGCTGGGAAAGGCTGTTCTGCAATTGTAACCAGTAAAATCTGATTCCCTCTATGTCTGAAACTGTGAATGCAGTGGGCAAATTGGAAGTCATGCATAAACTGAATCTTCTGTTCCCATTTTGTTTCTACTTAAAACAGGATATTGTACCCATTTAATTGGGGATCTTAGTAAATTCCAGCATATCAACTTCACGATAGGTTTTGAGTTTTGCAGTAGTATTTGAAGTACTCCAGCTTACATGAAAAACTTCAAAATAGGTTAGGTAACATTTTTAATAGTAGTAAAATCTTATAGCTCCAACTGTTACTCACTGTGAGGCTTCGTTTTTTAACTCTTGTATCACAAGGCACTGAGTTACAAGATTATTAAAGCTCAAATTGTAAAAATATGCCCAAAGATATGGTTGGAAGGTAAGATGAATATGGCTAAATTAGGGAATTTTTCTATATCCAGAACTAACAAATGAAGCCCTCCTTGTGCTTAGCTGAAAGACAGCTGGAGTAATAAGTCACTGAAGGAGAATACTGAGGGAAGATACATTTGATGTTTATATTTTAAATGTCTCTGCTTCTCGGTAGTGATTTTGTCAGAATTAAAATCTGAAGAGGGCAGAGTTCCAACTGCAAATCTTGCATTCATTTAGGCTCTCTGTTTATTATTTTTTTTAAGCTCTGTAGTGCTGCTTTAATAAGGAGAAAATGGGTCAGGGCTTGTTAGATATTCAGTGTGTGGGTGGGAATCCTTTGACGTGCTTTCTGGGGAAGCCTCTAACTTGGGAATTGCTGCTGAGAATCCAGGAGAACAAAATAAAATTCAGTCAGCAGCAAGATATATTACAAGTAAACCTTTTCACTTCCACTGTAAGGGAAAGGTTAGAGATGTGGCTGAAATATGGCAATTAACCAATATCACTACAAGCTTTTAACCTATGCAAAGCCTACACAGAGGAGACAGTATGTTCTTTGTAATTCTCTGAGCAGAATAAGAAAGTGAGCCCTAAAAGTAAAGATGAATAGTCTAAAATTTCTCATGTGATTTAACTACCTTTTTATTGTAGTTCTAAAGTGATTTTGAGGTGTGATGGTGCTTGTGGCTTTAGCTTTTAGTGTTGCACTAAGTTTAAAAGAAAAGTGGGATAGAACCATCATCTCTGTGTTGTATGTTATAGGGAAAATATAATAAATGCATTTTGTCCAGTTCTAGGAGAAACAGAACTATTTTCAGTTGCAGTAAGCTTATTTGAAGTGCTTGTGAATTCTAGCTGCATGTGTTATATATGTAGATGCTTTTGTTTCTTTGTTTAAAATGTTCTTCACCATGTATGTTTGTGTGTGCCAGGTGCCCACCAAAGCTGCACTATCACTCTCATCTGCACTAGGATGGGGACCCAAGATTCAACAAGAGGTTTGTACATTAAGATAAGGACTGAGAGAGATCACTCACCAGTTACTGTCATGGGCAAACAAGACTCAACTCTGGAAAATTAGTTTAATTTATTACCAAACTAAATCAGTGTAGAATAGTGAGAAACAAAACCAAATCTTAAGGCACCTTCCCCTCACCCCTCCTGTCTCACAGAAGCCTTCCTGTTACCAAAACGTTGCCATGCAATCCCAATACAGCTCAGCATCATTCTTAAATAACTGACCATGTTAATTAGCCTAACTAAATGTTTCTGGACTGTTTTCTTTATTTTCTTAACAGTCCTATGCTAGTACTCCGAGTTGTTGTTTCAGTTATATACTCCCAGTTACCAATAACACATCTCTGCCAAGCAGTTGGGAAAGACCAGTTACTGTTTTCATTAGGGATTTTAGATCAGGGAGCTGCAATGGAGTGACTAACATGTACCTTACATCTGTTCAACCTGTAGGTCTGCTCATATGGGCAGAATGCTTTTGTTTGGCTTAAACACATTTCATTTGGAACTAGTCATAGATATATGAACACCTAAGCATCTTCAAAATGTAGCATAATCTAAGATGAGGTAGACTAAACCAGTACCTTGTTATTATAGGAGATGGAAGAGAAATGGTGCACAAATCCAAATGTTTCTTTAAAACAGTGTGTAGCTCAGTAATAGAAGTTTGGGAGGACGTTGCTAGTAGAAAGCCAAAAAAAAATGACAAATCTGGCTGTTGTGGTTGAGCAGACAACCAGTCTTCAGGTGTCAACCTGAAACTTGGAAGAGATTGAACGCAACAGTTAGTCTAAATATCTTAAGATTTTACCCTTGCAAATTCAGTAGCGTCTGTTACTCAGCTGAAAGTGTATTTATCTTTATATCTTTCAGATACAAAGTCCTATGCTACTTTTTAATGAGGGGTGGGGAAGTCTGCAGGAAAGCAAGTTGTGAGTTACTGGGAGTAAGGGAGAAATGTTTCTGGAAGAAGTTGTCCTGAAAG